CCGCGGGTGCCATCTGTCAGGATTCAGCAAGTAATCCACAGATGCTGTGCTTATAGTTGCCTCAAAAGGCCACACCAGAAACCAAGGCTGCCTCCAGTGTGAGTCTCAGCAAGGAGCACCTGACTCTCTGAGGATACACCTGGATGTGGCTTGGGTGGGGCCCAAGTTGGGGTAGGCGGGGTTTCAGGGAATCCTCTGGGCGGAGTGACCTCTGTTATCCAGTTTGATGACGTCACAGCTATGGCGGTGCTGTGTCCTGCGCACTGGTAGAGGGGAGGGCTCAGCAGGGAACAATGGATACTGCCGGCACTTCTGCACTGAGTCACGCCTCGGCCCTCACTCCAGTGTCTCCCTGCAAGTTCCTGGTGCCCCCTGTGTGCAGCTGAACGGGCACTGGTGCAATCCACTCGCAGATGCAGCCCTCTTAAGAGGCGTCTGCGACTGCCACAGCTTCTGTCTCACTCAGCCGCCCCGGACCGGGCAGCCCCGCGTCCTCGCCCCATCCCACCTTCTACTGTTGCAGGGTGCTTTCCTGGATTTCTCCATAGTTGTATGGCTTGTTCATCTAGATCCCAGGTGATTTTCCCTTGCTGCTGTTTCCTGCCTCTGTCACAACCTTGACCTGGTCGCCAGAGGGATGAACAGAACCTCCATCATCTATGCCATTTTTTTCTATTCTCTAGAACCTCTCGATATATTTTTGGTCAGTTTTGTGTATCTTTTAGTTATTCTTCATTTTAGACCATCTAAACAGTTTATATTCAGCTAGATTTCCACATTTACTCATTCATTTGTGTTGTTTTGCTTTTTAATGTTCAATGTTCAAGTCTTAGCAATCACAGCCAATTCTATAGAAAGAAACTGTTTACTTTGACTCCTAGTAATAAAATAAAAGCTTTTAAGTCAGGAATTCAGAAATCTGCCAGAACCTGTTTGGAAATAAGCCCTGAGGATTTGTTATGTCAGTGGTTGGTTGTGCAATGTCTATAAGAAGCTGAAAGACCAAACAAACCTTAAACAGTGTTAGCAGAGTATAAATGAACCAGGAAACTTTGGCTAGAAATAGATGGTAAAGAATTAAGAGTCTTAGGGTTTGCAAACCGGAAACAATCAGGCAATACTCAGAGTGTTACAAAGAAGAAAGAAAAGCTGAGAGTTCTTACAGTAAAACATACATCCTTGAGAAGAATCAATTCTGCATTCTTACCTTCCGGATTGGTCTGAGTTGGTAATCCTCTCCATGTCAGGTGGTCTGGGTACATAAACATTCTTTCCTTAGTCTTTCAGAAGGTAATCAGTGTTATCTGGAGGTTTGATGTATATCCAGGCATTGAAACAAAACTGGAAAGTTATATTTAAGTCCTAGGCTAGGTAAAACAGGAATAGAATTGTTTCCTGAAGCCTCACCCTACTTAATTTTAGCAATTTAGCAGCTTGACTTTTGTGACTCCATTTCTGTATTCCTCAAAAGGTAGAAAACAGAAAAGACAGTTAATTTTTACTTTTCATTTGTTGAAGATGAAACTGTATGACTTATTAAAGTCACATGGTTTCTGGTTTGGTTAGTTCAGGGTTTAGAGGAGATACTTCCTGTGGTGTACGGAAGCAGGGTTCTTTCCAAGCCTTTAGCACAGGAAAGCTGACTAGGAATTTTGCAAGATGAGAAAGGGCTGTTTTAGAAAAAAGGGAGGTGCTGTTTAGTCATCAGAAGAGGCTTCGAATTCAAGTAATAATTCAGAAAATAATAACGCACATGACCACCATAAATAGGAAAGATATTTACTACCATTATTACAGGCAAAGGGCTCATATTTTTATATGAAGATCACTTATAAATCATTAAGAAAATTATGAATATCCTAATAAGAAATTTAAAAAATTCCAAGCAGAAAAATTACAAAGGAAATATGGATTGATCTTGGTAAAGATCAATCCAGCCTATTTGTGAAGTCATTAAACCAAAATGTATCAATACTCTGGGATTAGAAAAAGTTTGTAGACTGATTCAGTAATTTTGCTTTCATGATTTTTTCCAAAGAAAAAAATTAGAAGTGTGGAAAAATATTTGCATCCTAGCATGAATTAAAATTGGGGGAAAAAAGGAAAATACCACAAATTCATGTATAAGGAAAAGGTTAAGTTGTGGGTTCACCTATGTAAGTTTTTTACTCATTTAAAACTCATATTTAAAAAAAGAAAATATTTGATGGCATGAGTTTGTCTTTAAAAATTAAGTTTTAAAGAGCAGAATGTAAAACTATTATAACTCGATTCTAATTTCTGTCTGCCTATACAGGCAGACAGAAAACATGTCTGAAAAGAAAATGTTAACTTTGTTGTCATTGGTCAGTGGGAACTATTTTCTTCCTTAATGTTTCTGTTTTCTAAATGTTATATGCATATGTTACTTTTGTATTCAGAAAAATGCTGTTGTTTTTTTTTAAATAAACAACATCCCATGTTCCCACCACCACCATCACCATCACCACCACCACCATCACCACCACCACCACCACCACCACCACCACCACCACCCCCCCCAAGGTAAAAAGCATTTCTCAAGAAAAGTGAGAATTTCCAGTATTTAATATTTACTCTGGCTCTTAATGTAGAACCTAATATGAATACCAGTATATATCCCCCATTCTTTAAAGCTTTTCTGTCTTGTAATATTTGATATGCTTTTTAGTTTTGTAACTTGGATTATATCTAAAACTAACACTTGTGAGAATGGTGGAGCAGGATGCAGGTGGGGAGATTCTTTTCTGCTTAAGCTGTATTGGTTTTATTGCAGAGGAAATAGTGTAAGGGCTCCCTTTAGAATATTTTGCTAAAGTTGAAGTATTTAGAGGGAAATGTACAGATGTCTTCAGTTTACTTCGATATGTAATAAAAATATGATGGACTCATTAATGGATAGAGAGACGGATAGAAATGTTACAAAGCAAGTATAGCAAAATGTGAATGGTGGAATTTAGGTGATATAAGTGTTCACTATAAAAATCTTTAAACTTTGCTGTGTTTTTGAAATTTTTTATATTAAAATGTTAGAAATTATATTTTTGTGGAAGAAGAGAAATTAATTTGATAAAAGTTTTTAAAGAGGCAGCAAAAATTTTAAAATTTATTTTTTCAAAAGAATTAACAATCACATAACCTTGGGTAATTGAAACAGAACCACAAGAGGAAATTAACATAGATTCTAATCACAGCGAGGCTTTGATAGCTTAGAGCTTGATTATTGGAACAGCTGGATCAGGGGGTGGGGGTGGGAGATTTAGAAAAACGAAGATGAAATAATCTTGATTTAGAGGTTTTCTCTCTTTTTGATTGGATGTATTCTGGTTAAAAGATATATTTGGAAATGTTATTGGTTAAATAGCTCCTTCTGTCATTAAGCAATAAAATCCATTGAAAATTTAAAGTAAAAAATGTGTATATCCACCACGAAGTATTTTCACTTTTGGTTAGAAACTACTTGACAGTTTATCATACTTCTCATTTTGTTTTTAAAAACCTCATACTTTTTCGGTTATATACTATTTCCCCAAATATACCCATTACATAAAATTACCATTTAAAATGTTTATCTTGTGTTTGGGCCCTTGAGCCTTTTGAGCTGCTCTTCTCTTGCTTGGGCCACTTCCACATCTGGAAGTGTCCTTTTGCTTTACTTTCCCTTCCAATAAGCTTCCAATATTCTTTTCTGCTGTAAAAATATAATAATAACGAAACGTTTATTTTGTGTAATAGATTACAAAAATCAAATTCTGATTCTATCTCATTAATAAGTAATAGACTAATAGAGACTAATATTTGTACATGAGTAATAGGGACTAATATTTGTATAGTGCCCTATAAATTCTGTGCGATGATAGACTGACTTTTAAGTGTTTCAAAGAATCTGTAATAGTAATACTTATTAATGAACAATGAAATTAATGTAGAAAGCATTACAATACTTATTGAAACTTCAGAGTGTGAATATTCTTTGGTCAAATGTTTATGTAGTTTAGAAGGCCTATTTTCTCTGTATGGTTAATGTATGCATACACAGGTTACCTAACTGAATATCTGATTTTTTACTTGATTGAACTTTATTTATCATTTATTTATTCACTTTATTTATTGTTTATATCAGAAATACTGCAGAATTCCTCCACTGAAAATATTGCTACTTAAAAATTTAAATGTTAAGCTGTCGATCCTTGATAGTTTTGTATTTTACAATGCGTTCTTTTAAAAATATCACCTATTTCTAAAGGAACAAAGGTCTATTGTCTTGCTGAAATTTCTATTTACTATTATGAGTTCTTCAGCCTCAAAGAGTTCTCGTATAAAAATTTACTGACCCCAAAGCCATTTGTGTTCTGCTATTTGAAAAGCATAACATATACAGAAAGAATATACTATTTTTGAAATCAGAAATTTACAGTTTTTTAGGGTTATGGAATCTGTTATTTATATTGAAATTCTTTTCTAGGTCATCCATGCCTGGCTTATTATTTCATCTCTGTTATTGCTGTTCTTTTTTTCATTCATTTATTTGGGGTAAGTGATAAAATATTTGGTCTGTTTTTCAGAAATTAACAATATTTGGGCTGTCACTTAAAGTCATATCTTTTATTGATGAATTACTTTTAAATTGTTTCCATATACAGGTCATGCTATATATATAGATAGATAGATAGATAGATAGATATGAAAAGTTAATATTATTGATAGAGATATTCTTTTGTTTATCCTTGTTTATAGATAAGTAGAACTGAAAGAACTCAAGACTATAGTCAACTCTAAGTCTTCTTTAGTAAAGGACTTACTAAATTATTTTAGTAAAGAATTTTTTATATTCATTACTTCTAGTAGAAATCTATGAATCAGAATGTAAAGAAAAGATTTCATAAAAGTATATAAACATGATTTAGTTAATTTTAAAACTTTCGTATTGTTTCATCAGTGGGGTTTTTTTCCAAATCAAATCTTATATGAAAATTTCACATATAAAATAGAAAAAAGTAGAGTTGCTCTGTTGAAGAGCATAGAGAGGCTCAGAAATTTGCCACTCTGACCTTTTTCTCAGTACTGGTGACAAAGTTTGTAAACCATCACACTAGCTCTTAAATTAGGAACAGAAGCAATAAAACTAATAAACTGAGTTTGTTAGAGGCAGTGGGAATAACAGCAAACAAAAGAAACAAATGTGAGAATCTATATAAAAATGGATGATTTTCTAGAAAAAATTATTAAAACTGACTACTGAAGCAATAGAAAATTTATATGTAGCAAAGAAAAAATACAGAAAGTTGTCGAAGAGGTTCCCATTTTACCTCCACCAATAACAACTGTACCAGGCCCAAATGGTTTCATAGGGAAAGTCTATTAAATCTTTAAGGAGTGGAAAATTTTATGTCTTCCAAAACATAGAAAAAGACGAAAAGCTTCCAGAAACAGTTTATGAAGCCAGCATAACATTGATACCAAAACCCTATAAATTATCAAGAAAAAAGAAACTGTAGACCAATCCTATTTTACTGATATCAAAAGAATAACTAAATTTTAACAAATAGGATTCAGCAACACATTGAAAGAATAATACATTATGACCAAGTGGAGTTTGCAGAATGGAAGACTGGCTCATTATTAGCAAATTTCAGAAGTACCATTCTAAATTCTCTGTCATTTAAGTCACATATTTCTATGTCTGTAAACTTATTTTCTGGAGATTTTTCTCTTTCTTTCTGAGATGCCTTGTCACCTTGATTGTTCATGGTGTTTAGTGGACTATTTCTTCGCCTGGGCATTAATGGAAGTGTAACTTGTTGTTTTTCCGGAAAGAAGATTTATTATATAAAGGTCTCTTTTTAGCCAGCTGCAAAGGAGGAGCTTTTCTTTTGGTTTCCAGTAGGTGGCGTCTAAGCTTCTTGGATCCCTGCTTTATATAAAGCCTAAATAATGTCTTCTTTATTTTCTTGTAGATCTTTAATCTCACTTGCTACTCTCAGTTTCAGTCACTGTCAGTGTTAGCAACAGTTTCAGTAGCATTTGCTCAGATTCTCCTGGGGCTCCGAAGTGATCAGTCTCGGAGGGTTTTGTGGGGAGGGGCCCTCTGGGTTGGGAGTTGGGGGCTGCGGCTCAGCCTTGGTTTTCCAACCATGGCTGGTAAAAAATCAGTGATTGTGTCTCTGCTGTCATGTCCGCTTCTCTGCTTTCTGCCCTGATGACTGGGCCCTGCTGCCTGCTGCATGGAACTCACAGCAGTCCCAGGAAAGGTTGTTCAGGGAAGTTGCTGCACCTTCTCCCCTCCCCCTCCTTCTGCAAGGAGCTCCAGAGGCTGAGAGAGGTAGCTTCAGTCTTGCAGCTTTTGCTCAGATTTCCCTGGGGCTCTGCAGCGTTTGGTCTCAGAGAGTATGGGGGCAGGGGCACTGAGGGTTGAGGGTTGGGGGCTGCAGCTCAGCCTCAGTTTTGGAACCAGGGTGGTAAAAATCAACTGTTGTTTCTCTGCTGTCCTGTCCCATCCCGCTTTTCTGCTTTCTGCCTTGATGACTGGGCCCTGCTGCCGGCTGCTAGAAGCTCCAGCACTTCCAGGCAGGCTGATCAGTGAAGTCGCTGCACCTTTACCGCTCCCCCTCCTGCAGAGAGCTCCAGTGGCTGTGAGAGACACCTTCTTTAATTCTCCCAGTCCACCGCCCGACACCTAGGGTTCTGACCTGTGGTAGCTCTATGCGCGTATCCCACGTTCAGACGTGCCGATGTGCATGCAGTTTGGGTGTTTTTGTTTGAGTTTTAGGTGTTCAGCTTTTTGTTGTTTCAAGGGGAGAGATCTGAGGATGTCTCTCATTCTGCCATGTTTCCCTGTCCCTACAAATTTCAATATAAGTCACCATATCACTAGGTCATCATCTCTGTACATTCTAAAAAGTATTTGATAAAATTTACACATGTTCTTTATTAAATTCTGTAATAAAACGGATGGATGGTAACTTCTTTAACATGATAAAATGAATGAATCTCACCTAAAGGTCAATATCACCCTCACAGGGAAACTAGGAGCATGCCTATTAATGCTGGGAGCAAGATGAGGATTTCCTTTATCACTGCTGTTGTCTGACATTGCTCTGGAGGAAATAGTGGACACAATTAAACAAGAGAAAGAAATAAGAGCTATACAATTGGAAGAGAAGGTTTAATTTTCAATATTTGGAGATAAAATGATTGTTTACTTGGTTTTAAACTAACCAAAAGACGATTAGAATCACTAAGTAAATTTGGTAAGGCAACTGAATACAAAATTAATAAACACAAATCAATAGTCTTCATGGAGATGCTAGTTAGTAAACATAATGAAAGAAAAAAATCCCATTTATAATAGCATAAGACAAAATATCTAGGATTAAACAAGAATTGTGCAAGATCTATTAGTAAAATTTTCAATGCCTCCGTGAAGGGCTTAAAAAGAAGTCTTAAACAAATGGGAAGTTATATCACATTACATAGGAAGACTTAGTATCATAAAGATGCCCATTCTCTCTAAGTGTATTGTAAAATTTAATATAAGCCCAGTAAATATACAAATAGGATTTACTTTTCATCTGGACAAGATGATTCTCAGTTCGCTTGGAAAAATTAATACGTGAAGGTACCCCAAAGAATTCTGAGAAAGAAAAATGAAGGGATACTAGTCCTGCCTAATATGAAATTACAGTAAAACTACAATAATTAAAATTGTGGCATCTGCACCATGAATAGATGATTAATAGGAAAGATTAGACTTTTCTAAAAAGCTCAAGTATATAATGGAATTTAATTTATGATAAAGGTGGTATAGAATCAGTAAACTATAGATGGCTTATTTAGTTATTGGTGTTGGGACAATCAGGTAATCATTTGGGGGAAAATTTGGATTTCTTTATATCAGAATAAATTCCAAATGGATTAAAAATTTAAATATGAAAGCGAACTCATAAAAGAACTAGAAGAAACAGTGAGAAATGGGGAATTTTAAATATATACATATTTAATTATCTAACTTAAAAGGTTTTTCAGTTTTTGTATACATATATTAATATTTTTAATATATTTGTATACCATATGTATATTAAAAATACATTGGATTAAGGAGGGCCCTTAAAAGTTATATAATTTAAATTGCATATGTATTTTTTTAAATTCTCCATTTCCTGTGGTTTTCTCTAGTTCTTTTATGGTTTCACTTTTATATTTAAATTTTAAATATTACTAATGTATAATGTCACCAATATATATTACTAATGTTACTAATATATATAAGTGACATTAGTAATATATAATATATGTTTTTAGTATTTCTTAATACAGTGTTTTATGGGTTTTTTCATTTATAAAACCCAGCAAACTAATCACACCATGAACAAAAGCAGGTAAATGACAAACTTCTGTAAAATTTACTATGCAAGTTTAATTTTTTCCACTTTCAGATATTTTAAATGAGGGTTTCTCAAAGTATAAAATGGCATTTTAGGTGGTATATGGCCTTTTTTTAGTTTCTGTACTTATTTTTATAGCTATGGTCTGTGATACTGATTTCCCATTTATATGAGGATAATATAGTTTTCTATTAAAATAAGCTCAACTTGAGGAAAAAGTAAAGTGTTAAATAATAGCACAGTTGATATAAGATATAGTAAAAATACGAAAGTGGGATATGAATGTCTCGTGTTTGGGAACCATAACTCTAAACAATGTTTTGATGAAAATGATTGTAATTAAATCTTTTTACATCGCCATTTAATTTTTTTCAGGGAAGTGTTTAAAACCTATAATGTTGCCATGGATTACATCACTGTTGCCCTCCTGATCTGGAATTTTGGTGTGGTGGGAATGATTGCCATTCATTGGAAAGGCCCACTGCGACTCCAGCAGGCATATCTCATTATGATCAGTGCCCTCATGGCCTTGGTATTTATCAAGTACCTCCCAGAATGGACTGCGTGGCTCATCTTGGCTGTGATTTCAGTATATGGTAAACCCAAGACTAACATTTTGTTACAGAAATGCCTCACTAGTGTGTTTTCCTTCCTCGTCTAGTTATCTTGACTTATGAAAAATGGTAATGGCTATATCCCATAACTCTTCAGTAAATAATTAATTAGCTATAGTATCTTTTTCATATAAAGATTTCAGTTTTTTTGAGGTTAAATTCTTTAAAAATGTTTTATTATTGCTCCCAGTTTAATTCAGTGACGGATTAGTGAAAGGATCCATAGACTTCTGGTTGGAAGACTTAGATTCAGATCTCATCTCTACCACTTACAGCCTCTGTGACCTTAGGACAGTTACTCAGGTGCTTCGAGGTTCAGTTTTCTCAGTTGGAAAATGGAAACAGTGCTTCTCAGAGTAGTAAGAGTTCAGAATGTATGTTGAAAAGCACTAGCAGAGTGTTTAATACACATAAAATGCTTGATTAGTTCTTCAAGTCGAAATTAGGGTACCTACTGTGTATAAGGCAACTTAAGTAGAATTATTCTTTTAGAAATAAGACTTATTTGGGCAATGTGAGACTCAAATTCATTACAACCAGTGTTATAGTCACACTGTAGCCAAGCTATGAATAACCAAGGCTGCTGTACAGATGTGTACTCTGTGGCTATTGCCCTACATGAAAGCCAAAAAGAGATCCATTTCCAGAAGTCATTGTGTGGTCTGTATATTGTAACTAGGCGGTTATTAAAATGTCTCATGACCAATAATAAGAAACCTCATCATCCCTGCTTGATTTGATGAAGAAATAGTCTTGGAAATAGAATTGGATCAATTCCTTTCTCATATAGAACTATAGAAGTTATATACTCTCAATGCCTGACTTATAATGACTTTAAGGTATATAGTACTTGATGGTTTACAAAATACTCATCTATTATTCCATACCTATGATTAAGAATGCCAGTTCTGGACTCCATCCAATCAGCCACTAGTAAATACTCTGTAGTTAGAGATTTTATTAACGTGTGCCTTTTTCAACAACCACAGTTGACTTTCACCTTCAAAGGGACACATTATATCTTTACCTAGCTACTCATGGGGGACTTCACCAGTCCTATTGCACAGTCTTTGCAGACTAGATCTTAACCATATCCATCTAGCTTCCTCCAGGAGCACAGAAATAACATCGCACTGCTGATATCATCCTCTCAAGAGGTTCCTTTGACATTTTCATTGAGGACATACAAATATTCACGGAGGAGCTCAAAAAAGGGGGGTAGACATTTCTCTGTACTTAGTACAAGGCCCTGCCACCTCAGTTAAATTCCTGAAAATTCTTTGGTGAGCTGAGGGCTTCTTCATCTTTGACACTGTCAAGAAATAGCAGTAGACCCTCTCTGCACCCATGATGTTAAGACACGCCCAGTATCTTTTAGGTCTTTTGGGAATCTGTAGGCAACATATTCTTTATTTACAAATTTTATGTAAGCTGTTAAAATTGGCCCATCTTCAGTTGGGGCCCCCGACCCCAGAGGGCTCTAAATCTGTCCAAATTGTAATAACAACAGTCATTCCATTAACGCCCCCTCTCCCTGTCTCCAGAGAATTATTCACTGTAGAGGCTTTAGCAGCCTCCTCCTCTCATATACCTACTGAAATCTCTGGATCACCTATGATGATCTTATGTTGCCCATGGATTTCTGGTGTGAGAAACTGCCCTTCTCAGTCTCATGCTATACACCATTAGAATGGCAGACGGCATACTTAGCTCTCCTGGAAAGAGAAGTTCTCACGTGTGTTCAGGGTATATGAAGCTCTGTATCCTTCTACTCCATATCCTCTCTATCATGAAGGCAGCATTCTACAAGCTCAGCCCAGCCACCAGGACTTTCTTGCTAAGACCAAAATGTTACCTACAGGATAGAGCTAAGCCTGGGCCCTGTAGAGTATCCCACCTAAAGGAGAGGGTGGCCTCTTCTTTCCTCAGTCCCTTGTCAGTTGACAAGGTACTAGAGAATGTCACACCCCTGTGGGACCCCTAGCTACCTCAGGAGTTCTTTGGGATCAAATGAGTAAACCACAATGGAAATTTGAACACTTTATGGATAATATCAGTACTACATGTGATGGAGCTACTGGAGAGCTGCTGCTTTTCATTCCTTAATCTAGGCATCCTTGATCAAATAGTGGAATCCAGGGGTCAGCAAAAGTAGCTGAACTTTAGGCAGTCATCTTGCCCTGGTCAACCATTGGCTTCACCTTTGCATTTTCACAGATTCTTAGGCCATTGCCAATGGTCTAGCCATCCAGGTCGCCAGTGGTAGCAACAGCAATTACTTATCCAAGGTTTCCCTCTTTGGGGACTATAACAGTGATGATACACTGTAAACTAGCCAAATAGCATCAAACCAGAATGAAATTTGCACAGATCATCTGTATGGTTTTGTGTATTTTGTTTAGGTTGTCCCCTGCCCCATCAGTTTACCTGCTATTTATTTCATATTCATTCAATATCTTTTTGTGTATAAAAGAAAATTAAACTTGTTCTATTGGTTCATACCTCCATAACATCCATTTACAAGTTTAGCCAATACATTTTTTTCAGATGTCTTTTCTATTTTCCTCTTTCTAGATTTAGTGGCTGTTTTATGTCCAAAAGGCCCACTTCGTATGCTGGTTGAGACAGCTCAAGAGAGAAATGAAACACTCTTTCCGGCTCTCATTTACTCCTGTAAGTATTTTGGAATGACGTTAAATTATTAAACAGCTAAGAATTTATAGGAATTCAAACACATGTAACTATGATCATTATCATGTGTCTTTTTCTAATCCTAAATGCATAGCATTAATGGAACTCCTGCAGATCTCTGTTTCCTTGCAAATTTTTATCTTCTACCTGACACTGGTTCAAGAGAATTTTTAATATGTATAGAGATAGAAGAAATATTTAGAGATTGGGGAGCCAGTATTCTCATTTAAAATCTTACTAATCAGGTATAATTGAGTACTTGTTATATACATATATTGCAGGTGAATCTTGCCCTAGCTTATGAAAGAATTGTACCGTTCTTTCAGATTATTTTTGCCTTTTTTTTTTTTAGAGTCATACTCTTCCTAATCACTCAGTAAATATTTATTAGGCATTGGTCTGATGTGCTCCCACAGAGCACTGTGAAGGATATAATGATGATTAAGATACTCAGCTCATTTGCTTACAGTTAAGAGGTAAGATAAGACAAGCATATAAATAAGCAACATCCAAGGCAAAATATTATCAGATTCAGAAGAGACACAAAGCCTGCCCCACACCTAGGTACATTCAATAAAAAGATGGCTTTCCCTGAAAAAAAAAAAAAAGAAGAGACACAAAGTGTAGAGAAAGTTCAGAAGAGGGAAAAATCAGGGAAGCCTTCTTGGAAGAGACAGCATTTGGATTGAACCTTTTAAGAATGAGTGGGATTTCAGCAAGCACAGATGGAAGTCGATTCCAAAAATGGACTTGTCACAAAGAATGCCTTGGAGGCATGAGTGTGGGGCCTCTATCAGATTTTATGTGTTTAATTTGACTAGAACATAGAGTATAAAATGAAGAGAGTACTAGGATGAGTTTGGAAAGGCAGATTAGGACAAGATCAAGGATAGCTTTGAGTGACTGATTTAGATCTCTGTATGCTTTTCATGATCACTGGGGAATCATAGAAGGTTCTTGAGCAGAAGAATAAAAAGAACAAAGAATAATATGTGACAGAGACGAGATGTGACTCGTCCGAAATGTTTACTATGTGGTTCTTCACAGAAAAAGGTTGCTGACTCCTAATTTCTGTAGTGATATTAAATATTAAAACAAAAGGGTTCGTAGCAATATTTTTCTACATTTGCAAAAGAATAAAGCTACTGCCTTTATTGACAAGAAGGCTACAGGAATTCATGAGCCTTGTACATGGTGGTTGCCTTTCTGTTTCTCTTATTTGGGTTTGATTTAGTTGAACAGTGCATTGCCTTCCTGGCTTATGTTGATTTTGATCAGTTATTTTGGTTATATAATGAAACTTGTTTGACCTCAAAATTACAAAGCCATGGTGAGTGAGTAAGTATGCCTACTATGGAATTTTCAGCCTCTTTGGCTGTGTATTTCCTTCATAAGTTATTCAAGAAGCCTAAGAGTATTAGGAACATGGATATAATTATAAAATCAGTGATAAAAAGCCAGAGAGACATAGATGACAAGTTTCTTGTTTAAAATTGCTTACTATGACCAGATTGGACTCAGGTTGCTGCTGGCATTTGGTTCCTGCTTTAGCTCTGTATAGTACACATTCATATGTATTTTTATATTAGTTAGTGTATTTTCAAGATAAAGCCTCAAAAGTGGCATTTCTGAGTCAAAGGGTTCATGCACATGTAGTTTTGTTAGATGTAACCAAATTCCCTCCACTAGGGATTATACCATTTTTAATTCCAACTGCATATATGAGAAGCACCATATTAAAGTATTCACATTGTCTCAACTAAAATGTGACAGAGATGTTGTGTGTATATCTATATCTATATCTGTATCTATCTGTATATATATTTTTTTCTATGTATGTGTGGAAGGGACATAGAAGAGGCCAGTTGACTCTTCCATTTATTGCTTTTAAACTTTTTTTTTCTTATTCCCTATGTATGATGCAGTTTAGCATTATTGAAAATCCAGGAAGTGAGACATAATATGAAGGAAATTTGTTCCATGCATTTTTAGAATTATAATAATCATCTGATTCTTTTGAGAGCCCTAGATTGTCCTCTAATTTAGTTCCAAGAAGTAATTTTTATCAGTACATTCACACTATTTTTGGATACTCAACTAATCCAGCTATTGTCTCAGTGGAATCTTGCTGGCCTGAACAGTTTTTCTTTTGGTTACTTTTCAGGGACTGTAAATGATGAAGAACAGTTTTACAATAGCAGCTGCAGTTTGAAAGCTACAGTAAACATTCAGTTTCAGAATTTTTTTTTTTATATGCCAAAATCAAAGAGAGCATTTTGTGGTTTTTCATATGCATTGTTAAATATTCTTAAGGTAGTGTTAAGAAGATTGGTGATTTGTGTAGAGGGCTAATGGCCTGCTGTCTATTCCATGCACTTCCCTTTGTGTTTCTAGTGCTTACCTGGACTTTTGTCTTTCTCAACAGCAACAATGGTGTGGTTGGTGAATATGGCAAAAGGAGACCCAGAAGCCCAAAGGAAGGTATCCAAAAGCTCCAATTATAATGCACAAAGTAGGTGACTTTTATTTGGTAATTTCCTGGTTTTCAGGGTCATTTATCATCTTATAGGCTAACAATGAGTTATGAAGCAATGATTTTAATCTCTATCTTTGGTCATGTGGTTTTTTTTTTTTGAGAATCTCATGAAAGTTACGGTAATACCCAGTAAATATTTAAGGCATTCACATGCTCCAAACCCAGCAAGACAGCCAAGGCACCCTAGGTTAAGAATTTCTGCCATTAAATACCAGTATGGAAAGGTTCAAGTTGACGCTATGATTTTTAAAAGGAAAAATAAGCTCTCTCCAAACATGTTAAAAATAAGAATCTCTTGTCTGATATGGCCAGAGTAACTTAAATATAATTTTATTTGAGATGCGATAATGTTTATACTGAGAAGATAAAATATTCCAGTTGGACACGACTTTCTGGAGGAGAATAATGATGACCTAAGATGGGAGATAGGCTCATTTGTGGATACTACAGAAGATGTTAAGGAGAACATAAGTTAAGGGTTGTTTTTAGAAAGAATTGAATAACAAAACAGTATCAGTATTTAAGAAGAAAGGGAACTTCTTTTTATGAAAACAGGTTAACCTAATGAGGAAGCTGAAAAAATAGGCAGAATAAAAGTTGGTGAGAGAAAAGAGAAGAGCCTTGAATGAGTTGCTGTTTGTCAGGAAAGGAAGAGTAGTTATAATTTATAGAGCCAAGAAAACTGCTGATTTAGCATTTGGGTAACTGTGAGGAGGATACTTTCAACTGAGAATTCCTTTTTGGGACCCAAAGATATCAGGTTCATTCTGCAGTGATCAAGGCAGCAGAACAAGGTGACATTATTCCAGTAGTAGACCTAGTAGAGGAGTAGGAAATATAATATATTGGAAATAATTGTTATTGTCTGGTTATTGTATTAACCATGTTAAGCTAAAGAAAATTAAAAGATTGGTTGTCTATATGAGTAATAATGTTTATGTGTATGTGAATACGAGTTTGTATATGGCACATGAAGATTTTACTCTTGAGAAATGTTTATTGAGCACCTGTGTGCCCAGTATTTTGCTTGGCACTGGGGATATAGCACTAAATGAGATATTCCAACTGTGGGGACATTATAGCCCATTTAGGGGGAGACAAACGTTCAACAAGTAATTCATACAATTGTGATAAGCCCTATGAATGTAAAGTGTAAGTAGCTATAAAAGTTTATAGTAGAGGAATTTCATTTATTCTGGAAAGTCAAGGAAGGCTTTCCTGAGGAAGCGATGATGGGAGATGGCCAGCTGAAGAGTGGAAAGAAGAGCTTTCCAGAAGAAGAAGCAACAGGGAGGAATGGCCTCAAGTGAGAGGGTGCTGGATGAACTTCAGTTCAGTTCCCCGGTGGGAGTGGTTGGTATTTTGGGTGAGGCAGTTCTTTGTGTGGGACTTTACCTCACCTTGCAGGATATTTAGCATTCCTGGCCCCTCACCCACTAAATACTAATAGTGGCTTTGAGGTATTACAGTAATGAAAAACTCCTCTGTCATAGTTATTTCCAAGCACCCCCTGGAAAGGAGGTGCTACCCTTGAGTTGAAAACTACTGTTCAGGGAATTAGAAGTTAGATGAGAACAAAAGGATGTAGGGTTCCAAGAGGGATGTCTGTAAAAATAAAAAAAAAAATAGAACTGGGAGGTTACCTGAGTGTGAACTCTGTTAGAGAGTTTGAGAATGAATTAGTCATAAATAATACATAGAAAATTTGTTAAGGAAAAAAATGAGGCAGTTTTCCAGGGAAGACAGAAAGTTGTACATTAGAGTATATTCTGGCTGTAGCAAAGTAGTTTAGTTGTGAATACTATTTGCATAATGATAGTATAAAAACTAAATATAAAATTATGACATTGAGAATATGGGGAGTTAAATTTGTATGTGTGAATGAATATGGGAGCTAATGCTTCATCTTCCCTATAGGAAGTTACAAAGTACTTAAAATGAAAACATCAGGATATAGAACTATGAACATGCTATTTATAATTAATTATGGAGGTAAATACCAGAAGAAACAGCTGAAGGGGTTGAGAGTAGTGATTCAGAACAGGGCAAATTTCCCTGAGTTGGTGGTGGGAGACCAAGCCCTACAGCAAGAGAAGAGGGTCCTTTGGCAGAAAGTGCAGAAAGAATTCAACACGCACGCCAAAGTTACAGTCAGAAGGAAAGTTTGTTAGAAAAGGGGTAACGCTCCACAGACAGCGTGGTCTCCTATCAGAGGCAGACAGTGAGAGAGACAGTAAATACTGAAAGAAAGACAGTGAGAGGTACATGGAAAGGCAGTGAATAGGGGGGCTGAGTGTTCAGAGAATTCGGTTTATATGTCATTCTTTAGGTCTCGTTTCCTTTGATATGGACATATAGTGAGGAAAGGGAAGGGGAAGAGGATGTAGCCTGAAAAGGTAAGGATATGTAGAGTGACAGGCCTGGTGGCAGTTCCCAGACTTTAATCCATAGGTTCTCCATGGTTTTAGCCATAGGGAATGACTGTTACTTCCTGTTTCCCCTTCACAGCTGTGGGGAATGGGTTGTTGTAATCCCAGTAGAAATCTCCCTTTGTCCTGAAGGTGTCCTCCTGGCCCGAGCTGCAGGGCTGATCAGCAAAATGTAGTCTCTGAATGTAGCTTAACATTTTAATTCTCTTGCTTCCTTCTACATTAGGAGTGAGGGGGATAGGGCAGAGCAGGGACTGCTCTTTTTATTTATAAACCTTATGCTTATATGATTTCATAAACTTCAGGGAAGATTCCAGTTTTGTGAAGAACTGGTTAAGAAAAAAATATAAATTACAATTACAGAATTGCAAGGGCCCTTCCCAGAAAAAGTCCCTCCAAGTGAGAAGCCCGAAGCAAGCAAGCTTTATTTATTAATGGTAAATCTACCTCTGTTATGGACATGTATCACTTTTATTTAAAAAAGAAAAGGCGGAAAAAAAAGTATTAGCAACTTACGTATTTTAATTATTTTTGATGTATGGAAGGTTCTCAAGACTTTCATGTTATGCTCACAATTTTCAGTCAGACCGACAGTCATAACAAAATGACTAGCCCATGAAAAATGCACTCCCTCCTTTCCCCTCCACCCAATAGTGTTCTACTTTTGTAACTTAGTCAATAAAGCCAGTGGTGAGAGCCATCAGTTAGGGAGCTTTTAACTGCATTCATTAGAAAACCCAATTCATTTGCTTTAAACAAAGAAGAAATGTGTTCTGTCACATGACCAGAATCCTGAGGTGTAGATGTTTGTAGTGTTGGTTACTTGTATGGCTCATTGGTGATACCAAGGGCCCAGGTTCTTTCCATCTTCCTGCTCTGCCGTCCATAGCTATAGGCTTGGTCTTCAGCCTGCTGTTCCCCATGGTCACAAGACAGCAAGTGCATTTCCAGGCATCTTATCCAGATAAGACAACATCCAGAGGAAGAAAAGGGTGGTTTGTGTCTTCTTCTTTAAGTTTCTCTTAAAGAGTGAGAAAAACTTCTCCCAAATTTCCAGCAGACTTTGCCTCAACACACATTGAGTAGTACCAAACCAAAAGCCTTGCAGCTTTCAGTGGGAAGAGGAATGAAAAGATGAACACACTTGGCTTGGATTAATCAGGATTTACCACCAGAGTCCTGTGAGTGAGGGGTAGAAACCCAAACAAATCAGGACTCTGCCCTCAGGAATAAGGGAGAGAAATGGCTATTGGGTAAGCTACCGAGAGGTCCTGCTACAGCCCATGATTTGTGGTTTAAGAACGAGGTAACCTAGTAGCAATGACAGTCAAGTAGTTACCATTTCTGTGTAATTTTCTTTAACGTATTAAGAAAATTTTCTAAATATTACAGCTATTTTCACTTTTTCTTGAAGGCACAGGGAATGAAGCACAAAACTCTGTGACAGAGAATGATGATGGTGGCTTCACCGAAGAGTGGGAAGCCCAGAGGGACAATCGCCTAGGACCTCATCGCTCTACGGCTGAATCACGGACTGCTGTACAGGAACTTTCTAGCAGCATCCTAACCAGTGAAGACCCAGAGGAAAGTATGTACATTTCTCTAATTCAAAAGTCACGTATTCATTTAGATCCCACATCATCGAACTCTCCCAAAATAAAATGAATCGAGAGTGTTACAGCCTAATTCACAACACAGTACAGCCTTTAGTGGGAAATACCAATAGTTCATGGTTTTCTCATAGTTAAATTTATTAATGGGTCAAGTTCTGCTTCTCAGATTTTTGAAATTGGTCCTTTAGAGCCTGATCTTTGGCATTTGTTTTATAGAGGAAAAGATTTATTTGAAATTATTATTCCAATAAGACTTCATGGCTGCAGTACATTTATGTACAAAAATTTCATTAATATATTTCACTCTT